CACTGAGATGTTTAGCAGTGGGCGACCCTGGTCTCCCCATAGTTGTATTTCTATAGTCCTGAGGAAATGAAGATTAACTCTTGTCTTACATCCCATCCTTTTTGTTTTCTAGCTGCAGGGACAGAGCCCCTTGCAGGCAGCACTTGTGTTGGCCGGAGAAGAGAGCCCAGCTCTCAGATCGCCATGTGATTCATGTGCTGTGCACACTGTGGCACTTGAAATCCCAGCCCGCGGGAGCTCTGATGGCACCATCCCCTGAACAAATGCATGGATCCGGAAAACTAAATGCTCTTCCAGGAGGGGACAGGCGCAGCCTCAACCCTTTCCCCTTTGACATGGGGCAGAGGAAGAGGCAGGGGCTGCTCCACCTTAGCTCAGCCCCTCCTGGGGACCAAAGCAGAGAGGCAGATCATCTTCGTGAAAATCTACAGTTAAATACAGTCTCAAATGTTTATCTCTGCTAAAAGCAAGCCAACAGACAGGGAACGCAAGCATGAGAGGAGTGAAGCAATCGGCCAGACTCCATTGGGAATCTAGTTACTCCCAGCAGTTCGACTTCTGGGATTGATGGAGCAGGAAAAGACAGCTCTGACCCTAAGACATCTAGTGTAACATCATACCTTCACCTCAGGGGATGGAAGAAAGACAAGACACAACCCCCACAACTGACTGCAGAGCACCTTTCAGCCTGAGGGGTAACCCTGAACCCTTTGTGGAGATCAGCAATCCCAAGCAGGGGCTGCAGCTACCGCGGCCCTGGCCGGAGGCGCAGGCGGTGGGGGCAGCTCACAGGTCTGCCAGGCCGTGCTGATCTGCTGGAGGGAGCCCGGCTGGCTGGGCTTCCTCCCTGCCCACAGGTCACCAGCGGTCCGTGTGCTGCTGCCTAGGCATCCTAAGTATCAGGTCCCTGCTGAAGCACCCCTGCATTCCCCCAGGAAGCCAAATAACATCAAACCAACCCAAAAGACAGCTTTCAAAAGACGTCTCAGCAGTTAGCCTGCGCCCTGACGGTAGCGCAGGGACTTGAGCAGCACGCACTTGTCAATCTGAAGGCAGCTCTCAGCAGGCAATATCCACATCACAAAAGCCACCACTATAATTAGCCTTACTTGGCTCGTAGTCAGCCTTTATGTTTCCTTCCCGCCCCTCCAAAAAAAACAAGCAAAGGCATCTTTGCTCCTGGGTGATGGAGCAGCGTGTTACTGAGAACCAGGAGAGAGGTCACGGGGACCCTCGCTTGCTCTTTTTGGGTAAACAAGGTTGCCCTCCTCACGTAGAAGCACCAATAGCCCTGGCTTGGGCGGCCTGGCACTGACACAGAAATAGAAAGGGGGTGAATTTGAAAGGAGAAAAAGCCTAGAGCCAGAGCCGCTCTCTCCCCCTGCCCTCTACTGTGCCTGTGGGGCAGGGACGGCAGCTCCCCACCCGGCTGGAGGGACCTGCGGAGGCAGCCACCGGCATCGTCACACGGGAGCCAGGGAGAGGATGCACACAAGCAGCGACTGGAAGAAAAGGCACGTTTGTTACAGATTTGGGAACCTTTATCTTAGGAGCAATTACATATGTCGATAAAAGTTGTTACGGGTGCCAGAACAGGCTAGGAGCCAGGGCTAGTTTTACAAAACTGAAACGGCTGAGCAAGCCTGGCTGCATGTTGCTAATACCGGAGCTGTCCCTAAAGAAACCGTTCTTTTATGTTAAAAGAAAATGAGATGAAGACTCAGATGGAGATGATAAATTTGATTTTGTCTAAAGACATTTTTGAGGTGCCGATTTCAGGAACTCCCTGAGACCAGGCAAACAACTTAGTAGAAATGCCATGAAGGTTTAGCGTTGACTTTCTTAATGTCTCTGCCTACAGCGAGATCTAGCCAATGTGGAAGAAAGCTCCTTTAATTAAATCTGAAAGGGCTGTACAATCTACAATAATACCTACAGCCTTTTTTGTCAGTGGCATGGGGTTGCCTTTGGGTAAATACATTGGTGCAGAGCTCACGGGCTGTCCCCATCGCAGACTTTTCCTGCGGTCCTTCATAACTGTGCTGAGCAGATCCCCCCTCTCCCTTTGCTCTTGCTTCTCCGTGACCTGCTCACAGTGAGCTGAGAAGGCCTTCCTTGATGCCACCACGTAGGACACACGCAATAGGTGTGTATTACACGTATACATAAAAATCTCCTTTCTGAAATCCTCCTAGTTTTAAATTCAGTTCAAAAAGCAAACTTATTCTGAGCCACAAGTCCCAGTTTCAACTTGAATATAGGCCACACTTTAAAAACCAGTTTTAATCTAGGTGCCCACTGCATTTCTGAGGCAGGCCAAGCATGCTATGTTGTGCCCAGCAGCTTGGGTCAACCCCGTAACCACTGCACTGGTGCGATTCAGGATGGGACATGAATTTTCAATACTGAGACTGGGTTCCCCTGAGCCTTGTACCTTGTGTTGTCATTCACACCTATGGAACCAGCTGTAAAAATACTCCCCCCTGGTTTTCCCATTTTCACTCTAGTTGGCACAGATGAAAGCAATGCAAAATGTGCAAAAAGAATCTCAAAGCAAACAGGACCCTGCACAGGAGGACCCTGTTCTTCAGTTACAGCAAGGCAGGAGTCTGAATTCCTCCTTAAATCTGGTCCAGTACAGAGTCAAGCCCTAGAAGAGAGGAAATTGTGCTTGACAGATGCAATCATATGCAAATGGCTGTAGAAGAGGGGAAATTATCATCTACAAACATTGGGCAGAAATTCCATCTGCCGCCGCCTCAAGAAGGGCTCTTAATAAATTCTGAGACAGCAAAGTGACACACATCTTAATCAAGACTTAATCCATGGAATTAATTCACTGCGCGTTTCTGCATAATTCTGAGAGTAATGCTAAAAGCCATGGCAATATCAGCAGCAGATGGACTCCCCCTACTCCATGCAAAGGTATTAAAGAAAACACAGCCCCTGTCACATCACTTCGTGTACGTACACATGGCAAAAAGCAACAGGGCTGTGCCCTGCTGCTGCCAGGAGCTTACACAGCCGGCAGACATCAAAGGTCAGGCTCACCGTGAGGTGGAAATGGAAACCAGCCTCACGGTAAAGATGGAGCCACTGCCACTTCTCTCCCACAAGAGAGAAGCCCGGAGCGAGGCAAAGGTCTGGAAAACTGGGACCAGGTTGCTTCATTAGATATTGCTTTTGGAGTGTGCTGATTGAGGCCAGTGTCAAGACAGATTCATCAGCGCCTGGAGGTCAAGCGAAGGGGAGAGCGAGGGAAACTGCTGGGGGTTTTGCGAGTGAGATCTGCTGCAGAAACCTGGCGGATAACCATTAGAAACGTCTCCCTGCCCTCTCACCACAGCCTGGGAAGCACGCTGCAGGTATCAGGTCAGCCTTGCCAAGGGCCCTGGCAGCAGCCCTGCTCAAATTGACAGGAGGTTTTAGACAGCTCTGAAAATACATTCTTAGTCACTGTCATCCACCTCCAAAGGAGGTGCAACAGCTATGTGATTAATCTCTTGTTTACATGTCTAAATGCTAGCACAGTCCAGACGAAATACTGCCTTCAGCAGGCTCCCTCCCTAACACGCGTGGATTTGCGGGGCCGGGCAGTCCTTCATCAGGTAGAATCCAGTCTTCACAGCTGACCTCCACCTGCAGTTTGGAAGTCCCAAAGGCCTGGTCCAAATCCCCCTAAACCTGGAGGTCCCAGATCCCAGCACGGTGCATCAGCTGCTGTTATGTTTTAAGAGCGAGAGGCTCTCTAGCTGGGAAGGCAAGGTATTAGCTGGGGTGACCAGAGTTTCAGGAGCTGCTGTGGTCCCCCCTCAAAGCGGTCCAGCCTTCAGAAACCATTACACCTGCATCGGTGGCAATGCATCGTCCTGCACACAGCAGCAGGGTTATGATCCGAAACTCAGATTAAGGGCTAACATAGGGCCAGCTCACCTTTCCAAGGTGATGTGGCTGGGGTTGTAGCACTTACTGCTTCATACCTGCCTCTTCATGAGCCACCAGTGCGGGCCAGAACAAAGTGATTCCCTCAGCTGAGCTCTTCTGGGCAATACAGGTGGAGGGTGCAGGGGCCCCAAGGAAGAACATGATGAGAATAATTGATCCTGGGACAGGACAGAGAGGCATGGAAAGAGGTGGCAGAGGAGTCCCAGTGGTGCCTGCAGTTGCGGGGAGCAGCACCGCCAGCTTCCCAGCTGGGATGCTTTCAGCCAGGGGAGCTGGCTCACGGGCACCGGACAGTCACTTGAGGGGACATGGGGAACCTTCAGCCAGCATGACCTAAGGCTGGAAGTGAGCTGCTGCTGCAGCCAGGATCACTCATTCTCAGGCACCCGAGGGTGCGTAATGCGATTCCCGTGTTAATTCAGGTTCCAGAGGTCCTTATGTACCCCAAAGGAGTCCACTTGCACTGCTTGAGGCAGCGGCTGTGCAGGCAGACGTGCCTTCCTATCAGTGCCATATACAGGAGTGCTTTTCTTTTGGGATGTGTGCGTGTACATCTGCATTAGTGCTCTCTGGACAGCTTTATTTGGGTTTGACCGGTTTGTGGAGAAGCGAGGGAGAAAGAGGAGGGAAGCTGGGCAGGGAGGATGGGAGAGGCGGGATGTCTGGGGAAGGTGCTAACAGCCCTTGGCTGGCCCAGAACCACTTCCTCAGATCTCCGTTACACAGCATGCTCCTGGCGTTGCTATTTCAGTCTGAATGTCACCTATAAATTGGAGGCTCTTTCTCTGAAGGCTGCAAATAGAAGTGTCACTAGATGATCTTTAATTTATAGGGAAGCTCAGCAGAAAGCCTGGCATGTCCATTTTCCAGCCAGGAAACTCAAAGGGGTCCAAGGATCACACAGGGATCCTTTGCTTTTCCTAGACCTTTCCTCAAGGGTTGGCAAGTCCCTCCCGGAGCGGGTGGGGAGAGGTCACACACGGATTCATCTCCCTAATCATCCTGTGCCTGCTCCTTTTTCAGATTCCTCCTCCTCCGCCACCCATCCCTGCCCCATGGATTTCAACCTGCTGGCAGATGCGGAGGCTCGCAGCCCAGCCTTGTCTCTCTCGGACTCCGGAACCCCTCAACACGAGCACAGCTGCAAAGGGCAGGACCACAGCGGTGAGTGCAAGCCTCAAGGTGCAAGAGAGGCCCCGATCCATCCTTGTGGGTGGATCCAGGTTGCCAGTGGCTTGCAAGAGCCGGCTGCAGTGCTCCCAGGGATGCGCTGAGCTTCCTCTCATACCATGAGCCAGCATAGTGCTGGGGCGGCACAGCCATCCCAGCAAGCAGGGGGAAGGCATAGGGGTGCATATCAGTGACAGCTATCGGAAGGGTGAGAGCACCATCCCGGCGATGGGGTTGCCTGGTCCCAGCTGCAAGAAGCCACTGCCAACAGAGGGCACAGCCCACAGCAGGTAGGAGTCAGGCAAGCCGGGTCACTGCCCAACCGAGATTTTATTGTATTTGCCTAAACCAGGTCCCCAGAGTAGTAGAGCTCTCCCTGCAACATAGGAAATCTCATCCAAGGCACAGAAGGCTACACCTAGTGATAAACTGCCTTTTTTTTTTTTTTAAATTCTGTTTAAATTGCTTAGGTTGAAGCTTTCCATGCTACAGGTTGACCTTGGGCTGAACTCTCCAGGTTCAGGCAATAAGAAGGAAGAGGAATACTGTCTTGCCCCCACTTTAATTGAAAAAGTCTGATCACTTGTGCCTTGGTGCAAGGCTCCCCAGTGGGCTGCCTCTGTCCCAAGGAGCCTCTGACCAAAGGCTGAACAAACTCCAAGCCTACTGCATCCTTTGTCAGGCTCTGAAGAAGAAACAGCATTCACACCTGCTCGGAAATCAGCTACTAAGTGCTATGGCTTCCCCTGGATTTTGCATCTGTCCTGTGACTGCTCCATCCCTTGCCACTCTGGATGCAGCAGGACAATGCAAAGCTGCCAGTGCGAGGGGAGGCGAGGGCCGGGGACAGCCTGCTGCTCCCCGCGTAAAGCCTCCAGGCTCACTCCTGTGCAAAAGCTAATAAGCATAATGATGCAGATTAAAATTCCCCAGAGTAAGTATCATGAAGGGAGTTACACTGGGATAACTATGGTCAGAGAATCCACCCACCAAATTCCCCACTGCACGCGTACCTTAGTTGGGCACATCCCCAAGCTCAGTGGCTCCTCGTCAGCTGCTTTGGATGCACGGCAGTCGTCTCCATTCAAGTGGCCTTCCCGATCAAGCCCACCCTGGCACACCGCAGAACTGCCAATTTAGGAGCTGACTTTTTTTTCCATTAGGCATGAGCAGCTAATTCCAGCTATGACCACAGTCGTTTCATTGAGTGGGCGAACGTGCACAAGATATATTCCACAACCTATTTTGGGTTAACAATAAATGCTGGGTGCCTGGCTACGTCACTCCCCATGTCTTAAACAGTCTAGAAATAAAACGGTTCTGGGAGGTGGGTGTTTGCCAGCGCTACCTGCACACAGAGGCTGGCAGCTTGTGCATTCACACCAGAGAGGCCAGCGGGCGGCCCCAAGCAAGCCCGGCCG